CCCCCAAAAAAAATGACTTACAATTGTAAACATCCTACATTTCACATTACATGCTTTACTAAGAGTACAGACCTACAAAGCAAATATCAGAAATCTGTTAAGATTGTGAGCATGTGTAAGAAAATAATAATTTAAAGACTTTTACAATATAAGGATCTTGTGTTACGTGATTTTTTATGTCTTTGTTAGAAAGCTGTTCGGCTTAATTTTTTAGTATAGTTAGGTTAAGTTTAACCTTCGACCCCATTTTCCACATCTTATTTTAATTGCAGAGATGCAAAATGGGCAACTACAATCGTAACGTCCCTCTGCAGTCATTAGTGTATATCATTGGACAATGGAAAAATGAAAGGCGTACTACAGGCATACATGGTGTAATGATTAACACCAATTCTTCCCCTACTAAATATAACCTCACTGACCACTAACACATTTTTTCTCTTTCATCTCCTACTCTAGCTTCCTGTCAATTTGGTACTCTCATAATAAGCATAATTAAGAAGCGCCACTTGTTGATTAAATGTGGAAACAAAAAGTAAAAGGGAGGAGAACAATGATGATCCAATCTGTCTATAGTTAGAGCTGTCATTATAGATCAGCAGGGCTTTGTGCCATAATTAACTTGGACTAATTTAACATTTTGATCCCTCAGAGGAAATATCACATGTTGCTCTTCTGCCTGTTTGTCTCTCTGAACTTTTTCCTCTGAGATGCTGGTGACCTCCAGGAACTATTCATTGTAAGATTAAATCCTTCTGAATGCTGATCTCCTGCTTTAAAGGGTCGACTCTTCATTTAGGGCTATATTCCAAACTCTCAATTATTCTCAATCAGGTTTTGCTTTGGAGAGCGTGCTTCTGCTAGATGATAGGTGCAAACACAATAATGCTTTATTATACCTTTGTGTATGGAAATAATAAAGAATTTAAAATATAAATACGATTTTAGTCTTTGTCCACATTCCATAGAATGTGTGCTGTTCAATCCATGTGTAATTTAATGTTTACATCCCTTTTGCTTCAGGAACGGATGAAGATGCAATCCTCATGCTTCTGACAGCCCGCAGCAACGACCAGCGCCAGCAAATAAAGGCAGCGTATAAAAAGGCGTACGGAAAGGTAAGGTGAGCCGCTGGGAATGAAACAGAGAGCTGGTGACAATTGGCAGTCAAACTGATGGATGGTTACAGGTCATGTCAGCCACTGTGTCTCACTCACCAACATCACCTGGATGATGCTCAATCCAGCAACGAAGAAGGCACGGGGATAATAATGATCCTGGCAGTATTCTGTATTTTCATTATTGTCAACAAATCCCATCAAAGATCAAAACCAACATTGTGTGTCTGTCCTCAATAATGTTCAGCTGTCTGTCTGGCACTCTGCCCCAAATCCATTCATTCCTACTGAAGACCTAAACATTTAGAAATATATATAGTAAATTTTTTACTGGACACTACTTTTGAGCAAAAGGGAGTAAACTGTGCTTTGTTGGGGACTATTATCAGCTTTATACGCAAGTTCAATCTGAGGCTACCAGGATATGAAAGCAGAAAGAAAAATCTAATACTCAGAATATGTTTTTTTTTTTTCAGACATCCCTCTTATCTTTGATTTTTTTATTGTGACTCACTAGATAATGGTGAGTCACAATAAATGAAGGTTGGGGGTTTGATCCCTGGCTCCTCCTGCTGCATGTCACAGTGGTCATGAGCAAGATACTGAACCCCTAAAGCGTTCGTTGGAAGACTAGAAAGGTGCTATAAAAATCTTTTGACCATTTACCATACAGTAGCAGGATGGTGTCTGTTGGATCAATTCAATGTCCATGTGTTAATTAGATGAAGTAATATATCAGCCAGTGCAACAGTATGGTTCATTGCGTCATTCATTGGTAGTTTTCAACAGTAATGTCATGTTGCTATATTGCTTCCTCCAATGTTATAAGAATATTTACTCAAGCACTATATTTTCGTACCTTTTTTTAAATCTATTTGTAATTCATATGATTATTTTAATTGTATGCTACTTTATACTGCTACTCCACTACATTTCAAAGGGAAAATTACACTTTTTACTCCATTACATTTGTCTGACAGTTAAAGCTTAGTGCTATAAAACACAATACAGTGCATTGTTAGAGCTTAAACAGGTGGGCCGCAACTTTCATGGTTTGTAATCCCTTACAAAAAAGTAGTGTGTAGTCGTTTCAGATATGTCAGTCTATGTCAGCAGTTCCACCACAAGACATTTCCTTTAAATACCTGTTTGATGCCCATAGAGGTAAAATAATCTATTATTTCACAAAAAAACAAAACCACGATGAAAACAGATTTGTGGATATATTATAATGTCTTCTACTTAAACAGGACTTTTCCTTCTAGTATCTTCGACATTGTTGTATCAGGATCTGACCTTTTCCACCGCTGGCTGCCTCAGCTACACTAAGGTTTAATTGCACAAAGTCATCCAACCATCTACAACATCCAGTTTTTCTGTCATTAAGAATCAAAGAGCAAGGGTTGGCATTTTGTACCAACATTCAGCAGTTATATGGGGGAAAATTAATCATAGAAGAGGAAAGAAGACCAATTTCCTGCAGCCTCCATGGACCAGAATTCAGTTCAGTCAGTTATATTAGACCTTGGGTCATTTTATGCTCTCCTGCTTTTGCTGTTCTATAACACTGTCAAGTTATTTTATGACCACCTGTGGATTGGAAGTTAATTTGCTGTCTGTGCAGGTTATTGAAAAACATTCCAGCAAATGTAACTGGTGCCTGAAGTGCAAATAGATGAGGCAGCTTGAGAGAAAGAAGGTACACCCGAAAATCACAAAGTAGCTCCTGGAAAAACTCGGAACATTACAGTGTTTTATCAGAACCACTATTTAAAGGTAGAAACACTAGCTTTAACTACTCATTTGCAATAGCATCTGAAATGAGAACTGGTGCCAAAAAAGTAAAGAGAAATACTGATACGCATTTGATCATGTTACGTTACAGTGCATGCTCTTATGTCTCTGCTATCAGTTCATTTTCTATAACTCACAGTGTCAGATTTTTGCTCTGTAGTGCACCTTTTGACAAACCGTTTATGGAAATTTGATTTGACTGGCTTTTAACAGATCTGAAAATGGAAACACATTTTTATGTGAAAAGAGAGATGGGTTATGCAACGTAGAATAAGGGGATTATCTGTTAGAGGTCTCATATATTGAGCTGTTAAAGAGATGAGTGTTCGACTCTGTATACTGCAGAGTCCTGGCCCAGCACCGCAGATTATAACATTCCTTGGGTGTTTTATATGTATATGTATTTATGCTATTACTCTTTTCAATCAGGTCTTGTTCCCAGCATGGCCCAAATATGTGATTCATTGTGTACAGAAATCAATTTAGATGAAGCCTTTGAATAAAATGTCCTGCTTGATTAGCTGGAAATACTGCAAAGCAAATATCTTTTTTTTTTCTTTCCTGCAGGTACATTTCTTATGATTATCCTCATTCCTTTGAAAATTTCAGCAATGCAGTGAAAGGAATGAATGCTGAATATGGTTCATGCATTTAAAGACTATTGCTATGAATAAAAATGAGTAGAGTTAAAATAGTCAGATTGCAAATTTGTTCAGTTTCTTTAATGTAACAACATTTAAATGATGCAAAGTTAAGCTCTTTACAAAGACAATTATTAATAGGGTGTTTTTTGTTCTTGTCATTAATCATCTCAGGACTTGGTCAGCGTACTAAAATCGGAGCTTGGTGGGCTGTTTGAGAGTCTGATTGTGGCCCTGATGACCCCACCTATTTCATATGATGCTTCCCAGCTGCACAAGGCTCTCAAGGTAACTGATGAAAGTTAGGTCATCAAGGTCTTATATGCAAATGAGTTGCAAACCTCAGACGACTGCGTTTATTCCCTTATTTGTGCTTGTACTTGTACACAGATGTTCCAACATCTGCTGAAACTTTCAGCTGAGCAATAGACCGTTCTCTTGGCGCTCATTTCAACTTGTCATAGCAGGAAAAGCATGTGTGTGAACTAATAACAGTAATGAAGGCTCCCTTCTATGTAAGCCATGCCAGTGAGACAGCATACACAATAACAGCGCCTTAGTATTGGACCACATACATCAGACCGGTTTTTAGGATTTTTTAGTTGTGACAGGTAGGTTACATAGCATTTAAAGGTCCAGTGTGAAACATTTAGGAGGATCTATTGGAATCTATTAGAAACGGAATATAATATTCATAACTATGTTTTTATTATATAAATAATCATCGGAAAAGAAGATTTTTTGCGTTTTTGTTACCTTAGAATGAACCCCATTTATATCTACGCCACGGGTCGCCTTCAATGGATGCATTAATATTTAGAATTGCTTATGCATTGTTTAATATGGAATAATGTTCTTATGCATAGGTTTAAAGTGGGCAAAAGAGAAAATATGAGACACGTCAAAGTCTGCTACTTTATATGATAAAACCTCCACTAATCATTGAACATCATATTAACAATGAATAACTACCTAGGGGGTCTCTTCTAATAAAGAATCCACAGAGACCTATCATCCGAATCTATGGCTCTACTGTTTCCAGCAGCAGGTGGTAGCTTTGAGAGTATTAAAATAGCCAGATATTTTTACTCAAATGTTTCTGGAGACCAAACCAGAGTTAAACTGAATATTGGACTTGCTCAAATGATTGTTTATGTTGCTTTATGGTGACAGTGAGTAGACAGTTGTTTGCCAACGTTACAACATATTAACATATTTATACATCAGGTTGTGCAAGTGGCTTGAAGAGTGAAATAAAATAAATTAAAATGTCACCATTTTGGAAAAGGTAAAAAAAAAACATTTTGTGAGCACTCACCAGCTACAGCTTTTTATTAGGATTTGACATTGTGAAGAAGACAGTTTTTGAAAAACAAGCACAAAGGCAAGGACACAAACCATTTCACTTGGTGCACAAAAGAGTGTATTATTGTTGTATTGCCCTGTCACAGGTGTGAAGCTGTTCATGGTCGGCATGGCACTATTTGTGCCATTGTCACAATACTGTCAGAAAATTGCCATTATCTGTGATTGCTCGAGGCTGGATTATCTCCTTGTAGCAACTGCTATAAAAACATGTTGTCTCTAAGATCACAACTCTGTAAGACTGAGCCGTGACATCACTTAATGAGATACAGCACTGTACTGAAGCATATCTCATGCTTAGTGAATGAAATAAGCCCACAGTACAAGTGTTGGGTGGTTGCAACCAAACTCCGGTTTGATATTTACATGAGAAACAACCTGCTGATAACATCTGACCCAAGCACTCTATTCAGTACCTCGGCTCCATAATTAAAATCATCTTTCATATGGTGTAATTTTCATCAGTTGGTTAACCCTGCCTTTTTCTATACATCTGCTTCAAATCTATTTAAGGTCAGATGTTAAGGCTGGTTTTGATTAGAGCCTCTCTAGAGATACAATCCTGCTTTATTATCTTTGCTTCCCATCACATGTGTTGGGTCTCAGTGCAGGTTGTAACACCTGGGAGGTACTTACAGAACAGTCTCTTCATATCTATTTGTTGCATCTCTAATTTGGCTCAAATCAATAAGATGTCACACCAAAGTACTGGTATTATATCTAATCACATATATAATTTACTGATGCTGTAGGCTGGATGTATTAGTTTGTGTTATAGCTTAGATAATTCAGACTTTTTGAGGCTTCACATACCTACCTCTGCTGCTTTTTATGTCACACTGATGGCTCATAAAGTTTGAATGAAGTCTGCCTAAAGAAAATAGGTTCAACAAACTCCGGACTCCTCTTATAATTTACTAATGGAACTTCTTCTTGTTCTCTCTATTCTTTAATCACATTCACATACGCATTACCAGCGCAAATTAAATGTTCAATCAAAGTGAAGGCAAAGCATTTAGGACTTGCCTGTGACATTCCCATCACACCTAGTGCTCCACTTTTGCTAGAGGGTTAATTACAGCGAGGAGAAGAGAAATGGCTTCAAACTATGGCTGATCCTCAGAGCTAATTCTCTTCGGTAAACTGGGCGTATTCATTCTCTAATTGCACACATCTTCAGTGTATTCTGTGTATTTCCTTAAGCCTTTTTTCTTTGACAATTCTTAACTTTTGTCTCACAAATATTGCTCTTTGCACACCATGATATTGGATAAAATAGCAAAAAAAGATAAGATTGCTGTGAGAACACACTACCAGAGAAATCCATGTTGTCTCATATCGAGTTCATCCATTTATTGTGTTTGGTTCCCAGGGTGCTGGGACTGATGACGATGTGCTGATTGAGATCATGGCCTCCAGGACCAGCGAACAGATGAAAGATATCATCAAAGTGTACAAGAAAGGTGACTTACTCAGCTGTGAAAGACAGAAACCAGAGCAGATTAAGATGTTCACTGTCACCGTTATTGATTAGTTTCTTAGAGCTTTATAATGAGAGGGTGAAATGTGCAACTGGTAATGGGTATGGTCAGATGTGCAACACACTTTTCATCTAACAGGGATTGCCGCACTGCTTTTCAGTTCAGCTAGTAACTAAAAACCACCAGACTCTTTTTTTTTTAATTTTACCTTGCAGATAATCATAAAACACTTAACACATGAAAAAAAAGTCTTTGTTAGTCTTTCCATTGTCTTTTCAACAATAACCAACAGTGGTTTCAAAATAAACTCTTAATTCAGATAGGTGTGAGAATATTCAAGTGCGTCCACTAAAAATGCTTTTTTGCCACTCAGACTGTGATTGTCAACATTATAGAAAAAATCCCTTCCGAGATAGACCTTTTGTTTAACCAGTAACAGCAGTTACATCACTATTGCTCGCCACCAGACTCCATTGACAAAAACAGGAATTTTATCTTGCATATCATTGTAACACTGTAACTCTGTTCAAAGTACACAGAAAAAAGAATAAATGCACTAACATTCACCAGCTGGAAACAAAGCACATAGAAGCTGGGATAGCAATACAGGCAAAGGCAGTGTGATGTCACTCACTGCTCAAGACGCCATTATAGTTTATATAACAAATGTTTTTGTTAATGTTTGAAATCTTATATAACCTTTAACACCAGTCTCACTAAAAATGCATTGCTGCAAGAATGTTTCTAACATACCATCTCTAAATTCCAACAAACTACAATACAAAATAGTATGCGACATCAAAGACACAGAGGGCCAAAACCAAAGAGGCCAGTTTATTTGATCTGGACAAAGAGAAGGCCACGCTGTCCTTTAGCCGACTAATCAAATCTGCTGTCCCAGATCCTCCAGCAAAACGTCCCACTAGGGTCGATTTCAACCGTCAGTGACTGTTGTGAGAAAGACGTGTAAGCAATCTTCTGTCCCTCTTCTCCTCTTTCCTCCAGAGTTCACCAGTAAGCTGGAGAAAGATATCTGCGGTGACACCTCAGGGCACTATCAGAAACTACTGGTGATCCTCCTGCAGGTAGAGAATGGGGGCTGCTGGAAAGACTTATGTTTCTTTTACCTGATAATGAGCCTCTGGTGATGCCATTACAAAGTCATGAGAGGTTTATGTGTGGGTTGGGCACGGGGAGGGTGATGACAACACAATACACTACAGTCGGGTTCTCGAATGTGTTTTGGTGTACAGACAGAAATGTAATCTTCATGGTTCAGGGACACTCAGCAGATAATGTAATCTTCCGGGGTTACATGGGTTGAGAGAGGCTCTGAGCAGGTCTGAGCTCATCGTGTTTCTATCCACACTGACCTACTTTTGCTCTCTGTTTGTCAACCTAACTTTCTGCCTTTCTGTCTGGTCCGTCATTTATCCGGCCGTGAAGGGAAGCAGGGAGGAAGGGGTAGACGAGGCAAAGATCGAGAAAGACGCTAAGGTAAGAAAAACAAGATATGGCTCATTGCTTTAAACATCTTTTGGGAACGTCAGACAATTTCTAGCAATTTCAACAAACGACCTAAAAGGTCACTTTTATTCAGAAAGGATCCCCTTTTCAGCAATCCCTGTTAGATAATAAACCCATGTCACAAAGAAGATGTTGCTATTTGTCCATTTATCCCTCCCTGGTGTGCCTCCAATCCTCTCACCAGAGATATTGAACCGTTCTGCAAACCCCTTCCTAACCCTAACCCCAACCCATGTGTTCATGGAAAAAGAGAAGAAAAAGAAAAGGAAAAAAAAGAAAAGGAAAGAAAAACACAACTGCATATATGTCATAAAGTGTAAACACTGCGACATCTCATATGTAGGAGAAACAGGCAACACAATTAAAACTAGACTGGCACAACACATATATAACATTACAAATCACAAACACACACACACACACATCTAGTGGCACACTTTATTAACCATGGTCTAGGGTCATCAGAAATAACAGGAGTACAACACAACATTAATTGGACACCAGTGAAGAGGAAAAAAGCAGAAAGACACTGGATCAGATACCTGAACACCAGATTCCCCCACCACCACTACACCAGGGCACAAACTGTATTTTTCTCAAAATAAAAACAACAGCAAGAATGGCCAGCACACACCCTTTTCTCCAAGAAATCCCCACAAAGGATACCTTGGGAAAAAGGATTTCTCTTTCTAACCCTAACCCATGTGCTCATGGTAACTAAGATACATTGCTTATAGTAAATAAAACATGGACTATTTCTCGAGCAGTAACTTCCTGTAGTCTCCACAGGTTGCCTGGCAACTGCTCCCAAGAACTAATCCAGCACAAAACCCATTGTTTTTTTTATGAACTTAGATTTTGTACAGATAAACAAAATATAACATGTTAATTTGTGAGCTTTAGAGGTGCTGGTAGGCAGCTAGGTTAGGAAGCTTCCAGCCTTTATGCTAAACTAAGCTAAGCTAACCGGCTGCTGGCTGCAGCCTTGTATTCAATGGGCAGACGTGAGCGTGCTATTGATTCTTCACTATATCTCCCCGCCAGAAAGAGAGAGGAGGACACAGCTAAGGGCTACACTCCCTTCTTTGTTCTATAAAGCAGTCAAACCTATGTTGGAGATTGTTGTAACGTAATTGTAACTACACTGAGGTCTTAAAAATGAACATGGTGACAGTTTATTAATGTTAAAATTCAACATACAGCATATTTAAAAAAACAAAGCAAAAGAACAAAATAAATGGGTATATAACTACTGTGCTATAGATCATATTTAACTTAATTTCACCATTTTCTTTCAAATGTCAACATGTTAAATATATGATCATATTTGTTGGGCTGCTCTCAAAAGTGCAATACAACTAAAGGCCAAGGCTGAAGAATAGTCAATAGGAAAAATGAATTAAAGGATGCAAACCTCCAGGAATGAAACATCTTGTTTCCAATAAACCATTTCTAATTATTGATTCTTTATCATTATTATTATTATTATTATTATTGGTATTATTAGAAGTAGTGGTAGTAGTAGTAGTATTTCTGTATTTGATTAACTATCTGACCATGAGGTGAGACAGACCTAAAATCCAGACTTTCTCTCTAACATCAGAGACGAACTGAGAAAAACAAAGTGTTTTTCGGTGTTTTGGCAAGGTCCTACATCAGTGCTGTCAATTTTGCTCTTTCTGTGAGTTGCAATAAATCACGTCTACACTACTAAGCTACTTCTGTTTGTGTGAATGTACAAGTGTGTATCTGCCACTACAGGACTTGCATGCTGCTGGTGAGGGCAAGTTTGGCACAGATGAGGAAAAATTCATCACAATTCTTGGCAACAGGAGCGCAGAACATCTCAGAAAAGGTGAGAGTTTGTTTGTGCCAGCATATTTGATATTTCGTCAAACCTACTGAAGAGAGCAACATCAAAGGTTGCAAACAACATACCTTCACTATCCATTCATGCTCTACTTTATTATTGCACCTAAATAAGTCAGGCAGCTTCAAATAAATGTCAGAATGAGCAGGGTAACTTAAAGATCCTCTCCAGACATGTATTAAAAATCCTTAAAAAGGCATCTATTCCTTCTACCTCATTAAAAATTTGAGTTGCTGGAAAGAAGATGTCTCCTACTTCAATCTAAAATCCCTTCTCAGTGTATGTGTACTGGTGGCTTAAAGACATGGTGATGGTTTACATCACACAGTTACACACTGGACCAGGATTGGCTTCTAAATTATTTGTAATGTCACAAATAATGCTCGTAAGGGTCACCCCTTAAAATCAGATTTTCAATGAGCACAGAGAAACTTTCCACTTTCAGCAGACGGATGTTAAAACATCCTTCTCGTGTCAAACTCTGCCACAAGACATCATTCTCCATTCATCAAGAAATACACAGTGAAAACATCTCAGGAGAAGAGTAACAGCCTTTAATGTTTTCACACAAACATAAATATTAATAAAAAAAGCAAAATGCTTGGATAATTGTAAAAAGTACAAAGAGAGATTGAAATGTGCTGTGTTTATAGAGTTGATTAAGGTGTGATAAACAGCACACAAGCTCAGCGGCAGTCCCAAGGGCAGAAATTGCTCACTGCAAAGAGAGGTAAGAGAGGAAAATAGCACTTGTTTCTGGTTTGCCAGTCAGATGACGGACTAGACACGCAACTCACTGAAAAATTTAGGTGTATGGCCTCAAGCAGCAACAAACAGGTCAGTCAACCGGTTAGATGAAGCTAGAGTGAAAGGGAACATGATAACCAGCAATGAATGCATCCCTAGCATCAACAAGTCCTCATACCTAAACATACCTAATACTATGCTTGCCAGTGTCTTCCAAAATTACTTTTTACACTACCCCAAAACTGTTCTATGATTATGTTTATGCAACTGTATTCACTGTAATGAATACACATTATTCTGGTTTATTTCAAAATAAAGTTACAGTTTGTGCTTTAAATGGGAAAAAGAAACGAACAGACATTCAGCACTGCAGTTAAATAGAGTCAGGCAAATAAAAATACAGTTAATTAAATAGAATAAAATACCCAGCAATAGGATTACAAAAAGATAAAAACAGTATTAAATAATAAAACATGGAGCAAAAAAACAACAAAAAAATGAACTGGGTACAATAGATTAATAAACACAATGTGATAACTCAGATAAAACTTGAAATCTAGTCTCTGGTTCACATAACAGAATGAGTTGCCCTAAAGTCAAAATGTTGCAACCTTTTCAATACTTAAGATTTTCAAAGACTCCAGTGAACACCTGAAGTGTTGCTGTGGTTGTTTTCTTCTCTATAGTAATTTCCCCACGGGGATTATTAAAGTATTTCTGATTCTGATTCTGATTCTGATATAGTGTTTGATGCCTACAAGAAGCTCTCTGGCTCTGAAATAGAGGACAGCATTGAAGGGGAGACCACTGGGAATCTGGAGAACCTGCTGCTAGCTGTTGGTAAGACCTGTGATTTGTATACTGTCAATGGTTTACCAGGATGATCCTTGACTGATCATAAACGCTGTTCTATTTTTTTATTCTGACATGCATGTTAGAATGAAATGCAGCAGAAGATAACACCTGATGGGAGAAATCAATACCAATATGTCAGTAACATGACAGAAATTCAGTTTTACACAGAACCTGTGCCCTGTGTTCTTTCTCCACAGTGAAATGTGCCAGGAGCGTCCCAGATTTTTTTGCCGAAGGCCTGTATAAATCTATGAGGGTAGGTATCTCACGGTATCCACTGGAGTTCTTCGTATGTGTGTTATATGTGTTTTTCTCTAATGGTTAAGAATATTTTTTGTAGGATTTTGTTCCAAAACAAGACTTCAAATGCGGAGAAAAACAATACAAAACAAGCGAGGGTTCTTTTGGGAATAGTTTGGCATTTCAGGAAATACACTTGTTTGCTGTCTTTCCCAGAGTCTCCGCTGGTTGCCTGGTAACCTCAGGGTGACAATGGAACTCCGGGGAGTCGAATTGAAGAAATAGTCTGGAAATGAACCCCCATAAAACCACAAATGATTGTTTTTATTGTTTTTACGCCTTGGTTTGTGTACAGATTTGACTAATATAATATGAGAAGAACTTTAGAGGTGCTGGTTGGCAGATTTTTTAACATTTGCTTTAAACCATACCAGCATGTTTTAAAATTCACCCTTTTAATCACAGAGAAATCACTGTGGATGTGTTTTAGATTTATAGATGTATTTTTTCTACTATATTAAATTGGATTCCATTAATTTCAATACATTATAAAAATTAATTAGCAGACTCTTAAAACGTGTTTGAGCTGCATAACAACGGACATCAAATGCAGAACATCCCAGATATTTTTTTAACCAAAGTCATGTTATAATGCAATTTAAAGTATGGTTCAAAATCTAGGGGAAACCTTTTTACTCACTTTCTTACCGAAGCTTCTCATGTAAGTGAATTAGCATGTTTCCCAAAAGTGCAGACTTGATGTTCACTGTGATTGATTACTGTACATATTCTCAAGCAAGATCAGGGACTCTACAAATTAATTTTCATATCATACAGAAATAAAACCACCCTGGAATGGTAGTAAAAGTGCATCCACAAATCTACATTTGTACAGCATGCATTTAAAAGTTATTGGCAAAAATGTTGCGTGACTTGTAGTTAAGGAGCTAAACCTTCCAGAATCACTGGACAGCTCCTTCAATAGTATCTTCTGAGAACAAAGCCAGATGTGTTTTTAAAGTGCCCATTTTCAGAAAGTGGCTTCACAGTATGGGAATTCAACTCTTCAACTGTGGCACCTGCTGGAACTCCCGCTGTTAAATATGTTTCTGTGTTTAGCGCGCTGGAACTGATGACAACACCCTGATGAGGATAATGGTGTCAAGGAGTGAGGTGGACATGTTGGACATTAGAGCCAGCTTCAAAAAGATGTATGGAGCGTCTCTGTACTCCACTATCCAGGTACTGCTCACGCAAACACAATGCTAGTATGGACCGTCTGCGTCTGTATATTTCACTGTGGGTTTTTATATAAAATAAATAGTCCATTCCTTAAGAAGGCAAAAAAAAACATCTACTCATCTATGTACCCTCTGCATGCTTTAAAGCACCAGCTGGGTGTACTATGCTTAAACACGATTCATGTCAGTGCAGTGAGTGAGTGCAGATTTGTGATTTACTCTAAATGCCTCATTCAGTGTGATGAGGCTGCTTCCCTGCTTTTCACACTAGCTGAAGTGAATTAATCTATTCTCCTGGGGCCAGATGTTCAGGCAGAGTTATTTCCATCTTCCAGTGGAACTCCCAAATGGCCAATACTGAATAGATAAAGAAGACATTATGAAATAACCTTTGAATAAATGCTGTGAAATATAAAAATGAACCAGTATATATTTTCTTACAGTTTCACTAGAGTTCCTTTATATTTGATTATAGCAATTATTATTTCAAATAGCTTTGACACAATTTCATATAACTTTTTATTACTGTTCATGTTAATAGACTCACAGCTGATATTTTGACTTGTCAATCACAGGTGTAACTAATAACATTAATTATGGCTGCATCTCATTTATGTATTGCACTTTTATGGTCCTGGTATTACCCATGATGGATCACTGGCTCTTTGAAATGAGCCAGAGCTGATCACTAATGTTATTCCTGCTTTCATGATGCCGTGTTCATGTTATCATAATCACACGTTTCTGACTTGTAAGTAGCATTCACATAAATCTGAATTTTATTAATAACATTATAATTATGAATTTAAGTCCCTGAAAAGGCAAACCAATTTCAGCCATTTAGGGTAAATTAATTGATATTTATTATACATTTAGGGGTAGACTAATGCACAGTGTAACAATCACACAGCCAATTATGCAATCTTACAACCATCTTTTTGTTTTCTGGTGATAAACTTGGGAATCTTTCCCATTGCTATACTTTTCAAGCAACATGACGAGAAAGCAGCATCAAACTAAATGTCTGCTTTGAAAAAGATCTATTATTTTCATCAATTCCTGCAACCTGACTCTTCAATCAATCCGACCCTGCCAGCTAGATCCTGTTACAAGAAGCTAAGAGAAAGAAACCCCTCTTTAGGCTATTTGTGTACTTCGTATCATAGTTTTGAACAAAATGATGAGCCGCTTACGGGTCTGACATATTGAGAGATTCTAACAGATCTCCCACTTAGCGAAAATAAGTGTCAACAAAGAGGTGGCAAAATGGCAGCAAAGCCACTATTGCTGGCATTTAATTCTAAATATAATCAAATATCACCACTAAAACAACTCTTTCACCAAATTTAAAAGAAGCTAATTGTTGTTTGCACCTGGTTTCACTGGTTAACAAACAGCTAATCATGTAGCTACCACAACAAATGTAGCTAATTTAGCCTATCTAAATGGTGGAACTGTACTGCTAGCAGTGGGGGTAACCATTGTTACTGATACATAAACAAATGAATACAGTGAGTATTTGAATGGAGTAAAGAACAGTCACAACCCAAGCTAGGTAGTTAGCTGGCTATGTATTTAGCATCTGTAGCCTTGTTTAGCTTTGCCTGTGCTCTGTATTTATTTACTGCAGATAGTTTAGAATAAGGTTGCTTTAGTTTTGTTAGCTCACATGAGCTAGTTGGCTAGAGGCAGTCGCTGAGCCTGCTGATACAAGCTGGGTTATGGGCAGAAGGGTGAGGGCGTGGCGATTCACGACAGCACCATTACATTACATTACAGCGCATTCGTTTGGCAGGCACTTCTGTCAAGAGCAACAATGACAATGTGAGCCATTTGGGGTTCAGTGTTTCGCTCAAGGACGCTTGGACATGTGGAGAGGAGGAGCAGACCATTCAACCACCTGAGCTATAACCGCCCCCGTCAATTAAAAGAGACACTGTGATATACAGGTGTCATTGGAAAAAACACCAGTACCAAAAATAGGGCATATTGAAAAAAATATTTACAGTGGAAAAGAAATAGATAAGTGTTTTACTTAAGGCTCAAATAAAGTGGAAAGAACATCTGATATATCAATACAGAATCAATAAAGCATGTACCTTCTGAATGTATAAGATTGATAAAATAATGGCGCTGTCTGTTGTTCTTGCAGGAAGACACAACTGGAGACTACCAGAAGGCTTTACTCTACCTCTGCGGTGGAAATGATTAATGCTGTTTTATGATGAGTTTAGCAGCACTGAATGATGAGCTAACCACCGCGTTGCTGCGATACTAAGCTACACATGAGATGAGGTTATTGATCAGGAGTTGTTGATTCTTTCTGACTTTAGCTTGCTATTGATTGAATTAGTGTGAATTACCCACTTGTCATTTTGACTTATGATCACATCGCCTGCGTGAACAGCAGTTAGAGTGCATTCACATGAAAGTTATTTTGTGTTTTGTTTGACATTATTTAAACAGCTCCGCCACAGTAATGTGTGGGGGTGCAGTTTTGATTTTAACGTAGAGAATAAATGTAGCCATGTTTGAAATGATTAAATGTCTGGTTATCTTTTAAACACTTAAATTGTTTTTCTTCAGTCATGTGGCCCTATTGGTTTGTCAGAGTTACATGCAATGTTATAAGTTGTTTTCAGTGTTCAAAGCATGTGTTAAATGCAGCTTAGAAAATACAATACTTCTGCTGAATTATTAAAACCTACATGTCGACAGCACTCCCGCTCTCATTAATTACAAATGAACTTCTGATCCGGACTTAAATTGCAACACGGCTCTCAGTGATCAATAAGTAATGTGACACTATTAGACAGTGTTGATTAATATAAAGACATCTACTGCCTCCATGTCTCTCTGCATGAAGGAGCCTGATGCCAAACAAATTGGGTCCTTAGATCAACAGATGGGAAATGACTTCACTTTGCTGGAGTTGAACCACAGGATGGCAGCAAAGTGTATAATGAGCAGACTGTTTCTCTGTTTTCATTCCCAGAAATGTAAATACCACTGACATAAATGCCTCTTTATAGCAATGAAATATTTTACTTTGAAAGTCATATGTCAGCATTTGTGTGGTCTCCCTCTTTAAAATTTTCACTTACTGACTTGAACTAAACTAAATTCAAGTGCCCAGAATTAAAAAATTATTTTCAAATATTAAATATTTATTAGCTATTACCACATTGTAAGATTATAGCAGCGACTACAATCCTTGAGCCTTCAAAGTAAAACATTTCTTCCACACTATTCGACTTAAGTAGTAATCTTCTCCTGTTATTGTCTTGTGGATCATTTTATTCATATGTCCCTGTGATTCAGCTCATTCAGATATACTTCATGTCTTGGACCTTTTCATCTAAACTAGAATTTAAATCTGAGAAGCGCTTGTCCTCACAACAGTGGTTCACAGTAATATGAGCCCATCAAAGTGTCGCTGGGGTTGGAGACATTAAAATATTAAATTAATGTTTGATTTTCCTCTCTGTGACTCCAGCAGGATGCATATACTGTAATATATCAGTTTTTATAGCTAAATTCAAGACCGGATGACCTTTGAGTCACTTAAAACAACAAGCTTATTTACATGCAACCCTTACAACAACAGTTGTAAATGTCAATCTGGGTTTGAAAATCACTTAGACATACTCGTATGTGAGAAAATAAAGTGAGTATTTATAGACATCTCTGTGGTTCAGAAGCCTTCCCCAAGGGTCATAAAATCGCTGTCTGCCAGACGTTATTTTATGTATTCAAAAACCACCTGAAGGTCCAAGTAGGAAAATGTTTTCATGTATTGGCATGCTTTTCCTTAGAGGCCTGTGCTCTCTTTGCAGACATGCATTCACTCCAATTCACTGCAAAATGACTTGCAAATTGATGTTACCTTTACTCTAGTTATAGTCATTCAGGCAAGGAGCCACAATTTGTTTTTTATTGCAATTATGCTCCTATATTATTTTGTTTCAGATAGTATGTGGCTGAAGGTAATATTATAGAATGTGAAGACTAAATTTGCACAGGCAGAGCAGCACTGTACACAAACAAATTCAGTGTATCACAGTAAGATTTCACAATTTCTTCCCCTTCTCCTCACAACAGGAGCAGAAGGGGAATTCCATTTATTGGTATAAATCCACAAAATAGAGTAAATGAGTACATGAATAATGTTTTCAACCAAAAACAGAATACTGTCTTCTGTTTTTGGTTCAAAGGAGACACACATTGTACCACAATTGTGAGGACAGGGCTTAAAAAATACACAGAAGTTTCAAATGACATTGATACAAAAAAAGAAAGTTTTAATTAATCCATTTGTCTTTTATCCAGTATGATATAGCGTGGTACTGGTTGCTGTTGGCTGTTGATAGCAGTCCTCTTACTTAAATGAGGTAAACCTTCTTGGTTGAGGCATTCCAGTTTTAATACTGATGCCTGATTTGACCTATTTCAGTAATTCTTAATGAGGAAGTTGATCAAGTCCAGTTTATGCAACGTTTAAGTAAAAACCCACTGAAAGTTAATACAATTTGAACAAAACCGAACAATACATGTGTAAGCTTATCCTGAAGCATAGAGTGTACAAAGGCGATATTTACTGCAATATTTACATTAACCTACAAAAAACACGTCATACATATATATGTATGTGTATGTATATATACACAACAAACACTATATAATTTTATTCCTGTGTTCTTTTTTGTTTAGGTGCATTAGCTCTCAACTGTGCTAACACAAAATCACTATAATATATCTACAGTTTGGGTGGTTGATACAGTTTTTAATCAGGAAGAATGTCTCAGGGCTTATGTGGCCAGTGGCTGCAGTCATAAATCACTTCATGTGCTCTGTACTGGACGTTCATTTCCACTGCAGGAAGATGCTGTAAATCAGCCTCCAGTGTCACATTTCATTCCTGAATAAAAAAGAAGTAATTTTTCCACAGTTTAATATGATTACATAAATTCCTTACCAAGAATCTTTGCTTTCATTCAGTTGTTCACTCATCTGTGTTTTTGATTTAATATTTCTGTCAGCTTATGTTGCAGTCAGGGTCCTGGTGGATGCTGATTTCTCAGTTGCACCACCCACTTATCTGTCTTGTTTCATGCTAACAATGTAATATTTGTGACGTTTCATTAATTCCCTTCAGTTCTTTGTAATCTTGGCTCCACCAAGCTTAAAGCTCTTTATAAAGCAAATGCCCATTCACACACAAAGGCATTCATACAAGCCTTGTTGTACACACACACACACACAAATACACACTGTCCCAAATCTCCTTAGAGTCAGTAGTGCTGGGGTGTGTTCTCCCTGCTTTCAGTTTGACCAAGGCCCACATCTCTCAGCCAATCAGGAGCCGCAGGCAGTCAGGCCACCTGTAAGTCCACACCATCCACAGTCCACTCAGGAAGGATGTTTTGGCTCAGCTGCATACAATGAAAAGATTTAAAGCAGCATGAAGTGCTAAACCTGAAAGAATAGCCATCAACAATGCAGAGCAACGCTGCTTAGGGGAAACATTTTTAACACAAAAAACTCTTTTTACCAACAGGAACTTCTCAGTCAACTAAAGAGAATCAGTTTTGAGCAGTCCTAAATATCTACTGCCCAATATGACAGATAACAGCAATACATTCTAGTGTCACATCATGTTTCATGTCCAATGCCACCAAAAAGTAGTTTATCCTTTATATAGTAAGAAGGAAACTGCCGGTTTGGAAGTCAGGGTTGTATGGAAAGCCAAGCAGGTCAAAAATATAAAAATAACATTGAAAGACAAATATCTTTCCGTTGGGTTGTGGGTAGATTTAATGTGGGAAAAGAGAGTTTGTGTCACAGACCTGCAATTAGACAATTTAATCATGTTTTTACAATGACTATAATATCTCTCTTAATATCGAGGCTAATTACTGTTATCATAGTTGTTCATCTAATAACTATGGACATGTAACCAGCTTTTCTCAGTCTCTTTAAGAAATACAACCACTACATCGTGGTCCTTACCTTTTGGGAAACAGTAACAGCTAACAGTGTTTTCCATGCTGTAGCACATTTTACCCCTGATTTTAGGTACAACTAAGTATCAAAATGTCTTTGTTGTAATTGTTTCTGAAAATGTTCACAACCTCACAACCCCTAACCTTTAATGTTCAGGGGATTGTGTATTTAGCTAATTGCATACATGGACTAAGAACTAATTTGCTTCAATGCTACTATTTGCAAAATGAATCACTGTGCTGCAAACATAACAACAAATGTACCTACGTTACTGGATGCTTTTATCCAACGAGTGCTACAGTACCATGATGCATCGATGACCCTGATTGTCCACTCATTGAGACATACTGTTGGACAGCAATTCATTTAGTGTCTTTTTATCATCAACATGGACATAGATACTATTTAGCAGAATTTAGCAGCACAGAACAGTCAGGGGTCATTCAGGTGCTCGCTGAAATGTGTCTGGGTTAAAGCGGAGGCATTTTTGGTCATAAAAATGATTGTATATTGGAATATAAAAAAAATATTGTACAATTTTCAAACACTACTGACAATGAATTATTTTCTCTTTAACACGTCCTGTGTAATATTATTTGAAAGAACAGTTGGTACCTAATGTGAAACCAATTTCAGCAACTTTTAACACTGCAGTTGGTCTTTAGGTTATTTAATTAAATTATTCCCTATACAGAGCTGTTCAACTGAGAGTGAACACGTGTTTTTCTGGCATTTTAACATTTCTATGGGAATTGTTTTACTGAGTGTTCTCTTAAAGCCATGCTTTGCTTCGCACTTCACAAGCAGACTTGCAGAATCAATGTCTTGTGTTTTCAGCAGCTGGTGTTTAAAAGTCTGGCTCAAAGGAAAACTCCTCCCTAAATGTACTCCTATATTCATTGCGTTCCTGCAGTTATTTTGTGACTGCCCTCTAATTTGCTTTTCATTACAGCCATATTGCCTCATCTGCCATTATGGAATTTCCTACATGGCCCAGAATGCAACCTGCTGAGAAGCTGAACTTGATGGATTTCAGCTGTGGTAATGCATTATGTTACAGCAGGAGATGAAGCTGAAATCATCAAGAAAAATGAGAGTCATTGGCCTCTCCCAAATCACAGCATGCCCTGGGGCTGCTCTGTTCTGCTCTGTTGGAGCTGCTGCGGGTGGAGAAAGTTGTGTCTCTCTCTTACGTAAAAATCTCTGTATGAGTGCCCTAATGTCCGTACTGACACTTCATGTTTGCTGCTGCTGATTTAGCTTAAACCTGACATGGTATCACATCACTGTATCAACTATTTGTTCTGTTAATCTCAGTAAAAAAAGACAAATACCAAACAATAAATGTACTTTCTGAAACACAGAAAGGGACAAGCAGTGGTTAGTGGAAGTGTTTCAGGATGATTTTTTTTTTTCTTTTTCTTGGATTTTCCCATCCAAGGATTTGAAGAACAAACTGACTTGCAAACTTCCAGTCACTCGTAACACTGATGCCATTTTATGTGACACATGAACATCTGATAGAAGAAACCTTTTACTTGTGAGAGAATAGAACGCCACTGAATTGTTGAAAAGTGTAATGAACTAATGTGTTTATAACACATGACATGACTGCTGTGCTCTAATGGCAAGTGTTACATAATCAACTTTTTCCTGAAGGGCACCTCAAATGTTACATGTTAATGGATGAGAGAGCATTGCTGAATCACTTTTCTTTGCCCCAGTTTTCACAGTTCTTAAAAAGGGAACCTCAGGTCAGAAACAACTCTAATGGTAAAATGATTTTGTGACACATTAATAACTAATACAAAAGACTAGAATAGAAAGAACACTGGAATGCACCTTAGAAGTGGTGGAACATACATTTACATTTACAGCACAAGCCTGAGGTACAAACAAAACAAATGAAGAGACCAATATGTTTCTACAGCAGTCCAGAATGAACAAACCAAACACTGGCTCCAGACAGGGGCGTTCTTTTTGTGTTTTCGTGGCCACCGTAGTTTCTCCTACACACTCAGGAGGGGAGGGGTGAAGTGAGGAAGTTGTAGATGCCACTAAATCCTACTGAACTTTAAGTAAATGATTTGAATACTCCCTCCTCCACCAGTGTAGATTAGTGGAATTTATCTCATGAACACTTTGCAGCTATACTCGCTATTGCTGATTGAATGTCATGTAAGACATTAATTAAGTTGAAGTTTAGAGCAACAGATCAACTTTGTTTAAACCACAGCCAACTTGCAGTGCTAGGCCATGAATCAAGCGTGTGTTCAGAATTTCAAATGGAGTGGAAAGGTCTAATGATGCTGTTATAAATGCCAAACATAATGTAGAAATCTAAAGTTTCATCTGACAAATATTTTTGTTAGTTAATCCGATACTCTTAACAAGACCCTGCTTCTCCTTGACTTTGATTTTGCAAGTTGAGCATGTGATGTTTTAATGGTTTCACACTGAGAATGTGGATTCAGAGCCTTCTCAGCGCCAAAGTATACAGGCTGAGGCTTCTTAAAAATCACACTCCCTCTGGTTAAATTACTGTGTCAATACCCAACATGCTCAAACTGCTAATCTCCCAGCAAATTCCTTCAGCAGGACTGTGCACACATATTTGCAAAAGACAGAAAGGGGCTTTGACATAAAAGATATCCTTTGAATCAATGATGAAATAAATGCCTTCAAATGAAATTATATACAGATGTGCTGTCACAAAAACGGGGCCAGGCTACCTGTGCTTACATTGTGTATGTGTAATCACATGTGTAATCAATAAGTACTTTCTTACTAAGAAAGTTATCACCCCAGTAAATTTCTCTTAAATTGACAAATCATAGAGCAACATTAAACAATAGATAGAAAAGATGTTTATTAGGGGTTAGAACCATTGTTAACAATGTGGAGAAATACATCAAAGGTGTGCTGTCTATATAAAATCTACTGAAGCTTTAAACAATCTATTATAAGAGTATTAATGTAACTGTCTTTCTGTCTCAGCAATCATTATCCTGCACCATAGTGAAAAGGAACGTGCAAACACTCGACCAGGAGTCATTGCAGTACTCCTCTGCCAGCTTCTTGTTGACAGGTTGACAGGATTTGACAGGTCTGGGCGCAGGCCGTGGGGTGGAAGGCGGGTCAGTCTTCCTCTGTGCATTACGCAGTCTGAAATGAGCATCTCTGGCAGCTCTTCTGCACATACCCGCCCTCACCAACGCACTACTGTCCTGGCATAAATTATTTTGCTTCTTCAGCGCCCTGGCCATTTGCTTCCAGTAAAGTTTGACATTGGAGATGTACCGGGGGCAAACAGAGGGCCTGGCGACGTACTCACAGCTAAAGCTCCTGCTCCCCTTCTTGCAAGTGATACCGAGGATGAAGAGGTCCTCACCTGTTGCTGCCCAGGTACACTCTGATTTGTCTTTGGTGACCATTTTGCCCTTAATGGGCTGTGTAGATGCAGATTTGGTTTGACGGCCCACCTTCAACCCTGGCCTGTCCTTGTGTTGCCCTCTGTCCACCCCTCTTCCCCTCCGTCCATGGGTCTTCTGACAGCTGCTCATCACCAGCTGATGGGAAATACAAGCCAGAACCAGCAGGATGGTGACGTTGGTGAGGAGAGCCATGAAACCAGTACTCACACTAACACAACCTGCAAGAGAATGAATTCAGATTTAATCATTATAATCCTGTATTACACTGGTTCCCAACCAGGGGGTCCTCACAGATTTAAGGGGTGTAAGAAAACGTATATATCAGCATTTCATTAATTTCTGTAAATTAAATTATTATTTTTAAAGTTTAGATTCTATAATTTTATGATTTATTATGCATTTTGATGAACTGAACACAAGTTATATTCACAGATTCACAGAACCTTCACTCTCTAATAAACAGCCTCGTCCCACATTAGAAAAGTACACCACACAACCAGAGCTAATAGAACAATGGCCAAGTATTGAGGAGAAGAAAACACTGAATTTGACCAAAATAAGCCTATTAAGAATTTATAACTGTTATAAATAAAATCAAATGTTTAATATGATATTTTGTATTGCTATGAATAAAAATAACAATCATAATACGAGCAGAATTGTATAACATATCAGGATAACTCATCTCTGATGTGATATTCACAGGAAATAATCTGTTTAAAGTTAATCCAAATATAAGCTGTTCTGTACTGTTATTGTTATGCATTGAATATAATATGAATGGGTTAATATGTCAGTGAGGGATCATAAGTTTACTCAATGATAGAAAAGGGGTCCCTTATGGAAAAAGGTTGGGAACCACTGCCCTATTAGACATACGTTGAGAAAGAAACTGCTAGCTTTCTTGTAAAAACATCATGGAGGCAGACACTGACTCTGAAAAAAAAAAGGCAAGGCAAGATTTTTTTGCATAGCACATTTCAAAGAAATTGAAGTGCTTTACATAAAACATAAAAAGGCATTAAAAGAGACACAAGGCAATACAAAAAGTCACATATAAATTTGATTGAAATAAGATATGAAGCCATAAAGGAATAGTTCAGAATAAACAAGAGGAAATAAAACATTATAGTGCAGTGAGATCTATGTATATATAACCCGCAAACTTTGGCAAGCAAACTTTTAATACTTGATTTAAAAAATAACCCATGATGAAACAATCACAATAAAGGGTTATGTGAATAAAGTGATAGCATGTAGATAAAATGACAATACTATAATACAACTATTAGTGCAGACACACACTCTATAGTATCATAATAGAGATATAACAGAAATACTATGAGGAATTTAATTTGATAAGTACCATATAGGTCATTTGTATTCACTGTATGAATATTATAGGAATGTCAAGGTAATATATTATAAAGAAAGTATAAAAGTAAAGAAAGTATAAAAGTAAGTAGCAGTCACCACACATACACATTACAACTCTTATTATTGTAGTGTGATTAGTAATCAGGTATAATTGTAGATGAACAGACTTAACTCACCTGAAGGTTTCAGTGTAAACTTGGGTTTACAGTCCTGACACCTGGGAGCTGAAAGTTGCCTTTACCTGCAGCTACAGTATGCTGCTGCAGGATCAGGACTCTGGTCTTTCTCCCTCTCTCTCACTCTCTCTCTCTCCTCTCCTCTCTCTTCCTCTCTCACACCACACACAAACACACACACACACACATACTGTGTGATTGGAGGGCTTACAAAGTTCATTATCCAATGGCAGGGTAATCTTTTTGGGATATTTTTAAATTTCCAATTACTGCCAGTGAAATCATTTTTTTATAGACATTATTGCCATTATAGAAACTTGCAATGCAGTTAAATTTTAACCAAATGAACTAAATTTTTGTGAAAATCTATTTTAAACAAATGCAAATAACTTTTAACTTTTCTTCTACAACCTTCACTGGAACTTCTGTTAGTACAGCACGCCAAAGATAAAACGACTTGAAATATCTTGAAAGGAGCCAGATGTCCCTGCAGGAGGAAATCACTGACTGATTGAACTTGGTGGCCTATTTAACTTAAGCAACAGCGACACCTAAAGGTCAAACGCAGTATAGCAGGTAATTCCACCACTTTGTGATCATTATGATTTTAATAAGACATAATGTTATTGTATAGCAGCTGTTTTCAATGCTGCTGCTCTTTTGCTATAAAATCTCACTAAACTCAACACAGAATCGTCGAGAATGTTTATTTATTTAATACAATCATTTTCACATTCATTATATCTTTCTGTCTTATACACCAGTACAGAAATTACTTCTTTCTTCAGACCAAAATAAAAACATTGGTCTTTCCCAACTATGTAATATGCAAGCTAATATTAAGTGATGCAAGTAGATTATATACAAGTACACAAACATAAATACAAATGACACCAATAAGTTGCTTGCCTCTCTTGTCCTGGGCCCATATATTGTTGTAAAGGTCTGTGCAGCTGCAGAAACCTTTTTACAAGTTAAAGTAGTACTTGTACCTTTTAATAACATTTGTTTTTACACACTGAAGACAGGTAGTAGAGTTTTTACAGCTGTGACGTTTGGAAGATGAAGCACGAAAGGTTCACTGAAAAATCCTGCTTTCGATACCCCAGCAGTACTATCCCTTCCCCTGAAGAGGGCGCTACAGTTCTTCCACTGCGGACAAACAAACTTCTGGTCTGGATGGAATTTCCCTCCGAGGGTCACTTTAATCAGACATCAGAAGTTATCTTCATCATAATTGTAAATCTGTGAATATAAGGGGGGGGATAATGCATATACAGTTATAAATTATGCACTTAAGTAATATTTTAAACAAAAATAAAAAAAGGAGAAAAGAATTTTGCAAATAAATGCTAGAGGCAAACTTGATTTAAATACATCTCTCATTCCACCACAGTGCTCTTAGATTAGTCATAAAACAACATAATAAAAGCTGTGTGTTAAGAGAGAAGAGGCCAAGTGCTGCTGCTCACCTTCCTCATTAATTCCGAAACAAACCAATAAAGTAGGAGCAGATGCCTTGAAGTGACCTCCAGCAGTACTGCCGAGCCATCCTCTTAGCATTGCTCTCCACAGGCGGTGTCGTCGGCTGTGGACTGGTTCTCTGCGTGGTCTTTACCCTTGGTGGGACTCGAATGGATTTTGTGGAAGCTGGCCTTGTGGGCGCAGCTGGACGAGGTTGAGGTCTTGAGGCGGCTGGTCCCATCCTAGAAGAAGCATCTGGCCAGGACCGGGAGGAGGAAGCAGATGTGAAGACCATTTGAGACTCATCAGTTGCCTTCCTGCACATGTGAGGTTGGATCTGCCTTGGCGCCTGGCAGGCATTGTGGAGTTTTCTGAGGCCCCACATCATCTGGACGAAGTAGTGACGAGGGTTTTTGTTGTAGGAGCGACAGGTGTAAGGCTTGCCCACGTATTCACACCAGTAGGAGCGCTTGCTGCCCTGGCACGACAGCCTCAGCCTGGTGAATTCCCCTTGACCGGTGATGATCATGGTGCACAAGTCCTTTCCTTTGGTGTTGAATTTGATGGGTTCATCCCAGATGCTTTGCCTCCTGCCGCTGTTGCTCTGAGCCTGGGCTGACCAAAGGCAGCAGGCGAGCAGAAGGAGCAGAGCGCTGGCCGGGGTCCACATGGTGTCAGACATGGATGGTGAGTGGAAGAGGAGGAGAGTGAGACTGCTTGAGCTGAGGGACCTTGCTGCTATTTATTGGCTACGCAGACAAAGAGGGAATTCAAGTTACAAAAAAAAAAAAAAAAAAGCAGTCAGACTCAACAAAACTTGAACAGGGGGAGGAGGAAGAGGAGGGGGACAGCATCAGTTATTGCTGTCTGGTGAAGGCAGGGGCCTCATGAGATGTTGACAATGATGCTCATGCTTATCCAGGTTTTATGTAATAAAAGTACACACACATAATATCAAAATATCTTGAAGAACGAAATAATGTAAGTTGCATCTTATAGAACAATTTCTGACACATTTTTGTTGCCAGACGGTTTATGTCATAATTTTCAATAATTCTCCTGTGTCTGCCGAGCACATCTCAATTAAATAGAAATGTACTTATGTAAACGAAGCCCTCCTGAAGCCCTCAAGTTCCTGCTTGTTTTAAAAGGCAGTTGGAGCTCACAACCATGCAGCGTAGCCTATCATTTCCCTCCAAACATAAACACAGTTAGACTGCACAACCACAAAGAAACGTGAGTGGAAGTCACTCACACATGGCCGACCAAGTTCAGCATGGAGTGTGGTTAAGTAGTAGCAGTGCCAATTAAAAAAGAACAAGAAATGTCTGTATGAGACCAGGGGGGTTAGCATGGTTGTCAGGCCAGATTTTGTTGGGTGGGGTTAGATATGTGGCTTCATTTTCAGGCCCATCTAGTGAAAAAGGTCCCATTGTGGGACAAGTAGTCAGCACATCCGGAACAGATTTAGCTTTACTTAAGTGAGGTGTAGGGTCTTTGAAATTATTTTTTCAAAACACACAATGTGTCACATAATGTTTATGAATATACATAAAAGCACTGCTCGCAGTTTTTAAAGTATGAGTGTCATGTTTATTCCATCAGCAACTTCATTTTAGAATTCAGTGTTTTGTCTTTTTTGATATGAAATTCCTGAGCTGCACTCCCATCTTTTGCTAAACACAAAATCACTGCACTCTTATTAGTGTTCGCTTCCCTACCCCCTGAGTGTTTGTGTTCCCTTGAGATTGCAGCATTTTCACTGGCACACTTTGTCTGATGTAAGTTTCAGCCTGTTCAAATGCATAGTTTAGCTGTCCACTGGTGTGCATGATATTCAATTCAATACCCCTGCTACATGCTTAACTTCTGGTACAGTGCAATACATCTTTTTAAAACACATTTAAAAGACAAATGATGTGTGTATGTGGAGCCCCAATAATTAATAGATTAATAAATAAAACACTAAGACTCCATTGAAATCAAAACATCTATAATGTAGTGGGATATGTAGCATTATTTTTCCTGACTACTGATTTTTTCTCATGACAGTAAACAGTATTAAACAGCATTTTAATTTGTGAGTACTGTTCTCCAGAGCCCCTTAAAGTGCATGATGTACCAGCTGTAGCAGTGTTAGTGTATATGGCTCCGCCCATCAAGCTAAACATGGATTGTACATAAAGTAATGTACAAGTTGTACAGGATCTCAGAAATAACCATTCCAACACAGCGTTTGATGTGTAAATAAACACAATAAAAGAGATTTTCCCTGAACCGCTGCTTCTGTTTTTGAAGTATTTTTTTGTTGTTCTCATCCGTCTCTTATACAAGACTAGTTAGAAGTAGGAATGAGTTGGCATGTGGTTTTGCTGGTTGTTTATCCACATACTGTTTGGTGCCTGAGAAAACCTCAGAACGAAGGTTATGGAAGAAGATAATCATCTCCTATTGAAAATAGCTGACCAGTAACGCAACCAAGTGGGTTTTGGCCAGCAGTGGCAGCACCACATAAAAATGTGCAGTGTGTTTAAGTCTTAAGATATACTATGGACAGGATGTCTCATGCTATGTCATTTGTTTTGCATAAAACATATTAATAAGTATTGTACATTAATTTTCAATAGCACACAATTTCAATTTAGATCCTTATTTTCATTTAACTTCCCATTCTTGCTATTAATTTATATGGTAGGCTTTTTTTGTTGTTTTTGTTTTACTGAAATAATAAAATGTTACCAAAAAATGCCCTATTCATAATGAGAGAACCTGTAAAAACAGAAAAAATAATGACAGTGAAATAACACGATTGGATTTCAAAGTTTATTCACAATTTATACACTCTCTTTTCAACACCACATAAAAAGTTCCTCTTCAGTGGCTCCATCAGTGCCCAACACTGGAGCATCACAGTTCAAACCACTGACAGCATCCATCCAGGGTTCGGATACACAATATCTAGTTTAAGCACTTAGTAAAATCATACCGTTTTTCTCCCAAGATGGGTCACATCCAGACTTTAGCAGACAAGAAAACCAATGATAGTCCTGTCAAAGTGAAGACACATCAAAAAATGTCCATCTTAACAAGAACCTGGGTAAGAAAAAAAACAAACAAATGTAATCTTACGCTAACGGAAGCCATTTTGAATTTACACCACAGCAAGATTTTATTTCAAATACTGGTACATACAATGCTTGTGTATACTATTACTACGTATATTGTAGTATACAGTATATAGTAGTAAATTAACTACTATATAAAAACAAGAAAGTTAGCTAGCTTTCTAGCTGTAGCTACTAGCTAACTAGTTTGGATAATATTATAATAAGTATATTTGTGATAAAAGGCTATTCCTTTTGATTCGTGAAATTAGTTTGTCTATGTGACGTAATGGTCATAAAAAAGGTAATACGGTACGGGAGATATTTTCTGTAGTTTTCAATGCTAATGAGCCGGTTTTGTGGATCAAGTGACACCTTTGATGCAACAAGAAGCTAGCATCAAGGTTGTTTAAAAATTGTGTCCGCTCTTTCTTAAAATCACCAAAATATATTGAAAATATATTACTCATTTCACCTTGTTGATTACTAAATGTAAAATCCTATATGTTTAGTAGCCTACCCTTACATTTGGTACTCTAAGGTACTTACTGTTAGCTTATTCCGCTATTGCAATGTTAGCATACTCAGAGATAATAAGCCAGACGAGTTAAATTCAAACTTTCTGTGTTAAGATGGACATTATTTTTGACAGTGTGCATCAACACCACCACCAGAGTGCAGTGATTTTGTGTTTAGCTGTGTAGACCATAAAGCATTCTTCTGGTTTACTACTATTTGATTGACAGCACTCACTTGCCTCATGAATGGATTGTCTATAATCGTTCACCATCATAACTACGCTGACAGCAGCTGCAAATCTAACCTGTAAACATGGAGGTGAGGTGGGTGGGATTACTGGATTGGCTTGCCCAATGCGTTAGTGATAGAGTTCAGCATATTTAACAGCCAAGATCATCAAGTAATAGAAAATAAAAAATAGCTCTTGAATACATTCACTTGTTCAATCATTCTCAAATGTATCCATAGCTACTGTGGGGTTTTAAAAAGCAGAAACAAAATAAGCACATAATTGATAGACCACTAAAGAAGACCTGAGACCTACAGTAAAAAAAACAATTTGGCTTGAGAAAGTAATATTTCTCCACTTTAAAAGTTTCATCACTATGCAAGCAAGAAATATCTCAGTAAAAATGTCCTGTTAGTGAACTCAACATGATAGCTTTTGTTGTTAATCGATTCATTACCTATGGAACAATCTATACACCTTATTCATAGAGTGTGACATATTATAATCTCTGACTTTATCATGTGAATTAAAGGGAAAATCCACCCTAAATACCTACACTGTTGGTAAACTGCTATTTGGTGATGCATTTTTTGATTGATGTTGTTTTGTGGTATATTGTTTCTAGGGTTAATGGCCAAACTGATTTCAGGATGTTGAGGTCAGATACAGCTAAAACGGGGATGTGCTTCTTAGCTGTCTAAAACAGTGCTATCCAACCTGGGGGTGAGGCTCACTACATGGTCCTGAGAATAATCTGATCGGTTTTAAAAACACATTTCTTTTGTGCATTATGGAATATAAATACAACATTGTTGTCTGACTTCTCTAATCTATGTGATTTTTTTTTCAGGTTTTAAAACCTATTGAAATCAATTAATCTGTGTAGGTAAAAAAGTCTTTGGTTAAAATTTGTACCATTCATTGATATATATATATGACCTGTGAGGAGGGGCTGCAACTATAAATTGCTTAATTTTAAAGAGTACCTTTGCAATTATTTTGAAATAACTGGTCTAAAATGTAGTTTGTTAATTTGTTTACTTAATTACCATATTGATCAGCCTTATAAACAAGAATTTAATATCACAGATTGATTTTTAACAGTGTAAAATCATCTATGGGTGGATTTTCCCTGTGTGTAGGAGCACATCTGTCGAAATACCAGGGTGACACATAAATCTGAAAGGCAATTTTCCCCAAACCAGTCAAACTCTGGATGTTTTGTTATATTGTAAACATTTTTTAAAAAGTCATGCTAATTTTTTTTTTCATTTTAATCACAAAAATCCACCTGGGAACAACCTGTGCCTGTATTTCTACCACTTTGTTCAAATCATCCAGGTTTTAGACATTAAGATACTGCACACCACCTAACTCACACATGCTGCTTGTGTTGAATGTGATAACATCCGTTTGAAGTGCAGTGGAAACAGCTTGCCATGACCTCCGAGTGACCTTTCAGCCGCTGTCTTCTTACGCATAAACAAGTACATTGAATTGAACAGGCATCACAGTTATTGTTATGTCCTCTTGCTGAATATATATTTTCAGCTTTTTTTCTGAACAAATGTAAACGCAGACACAGCAGTCCTTTGAAAAACGCACAACAAGCCTGGCTCAGATTGATGCTGAGGGAGAAGAGTTTGATGTCCTGCAGGCAGTGTTTCTTAGAGGAGTCAGAGGATATTGGGGAGCAGGTAACTGTACTGCAGGCTGTGATCTGCCTGTTTGAAGAGGTTGAGTTGTTCGCTAAAGAGAAAAACATCCAAAGGGCTTCTTCTGTTGTAGGGAAACCAGCTTTTATCGAGCTTCTTCTGGTCTGAGGGTGTCGTCAAACAAACAGCTTGAAAATAGATGGAGCAAAAAAAAGAAAGGTTTTGATTAGTAAACTCTAAATATACCAAATGTGTCCAGACACATATTCACATATTATTGCACATATTGCTGCACTTGTGTTCAGTCTCTACTGCTTTTTCGTAGCTCTCTTCATTCTCTCTGCTGTCAGAAAAACTACACACACTCATCACATAAACCTTGTCTTGTAATAAAAAAAAACTTTAGTATGATCAAATAATCTCACTTGTCCAATACAAATCACTTCAGCCCAGAAATGTTCAATATCTTGATAATCATGATTCACCTTTCTTTAAAAAAAACCCAAGAATTCAGGTGAAACTGCTTTAAAAAGGAAGAATTGCTAGAAATATACTTTTTTAAAGCGAAATTAGATTTTCTGGCTCGATAAGAATGTAAATTACTTGTTAAATGGGCATGTTAACAGCAATGGTTCTGAACCACTGGATTCATTACTATTGATCCGGGAATCAGAGCCCATTCTGCTGCTGGATCAATTGCAACAGATTCAACTAAATGGCTTCAATCTAAAATGTAAAAATGTTAAGAAGGCACACTTACTATGGTGTATTTTAGTTCCAGTTTTCGAGGGCACTGGGAAGGCAAATATTGGAGAAAAATAAATTAGATTTTTTAAATATTAAGTTAATAATTCAAAACACAAATTCTTTTTAATGGCCCAGGATACTAATGCGGCTCTGGCTGGCTTGTGAAATAACAGACATAAGAGTGCAGCCATGCTTTCATGAAGTTCCTCAGAGGGTTTTAAAAGACTGCATAGTGCTTTATTGCTACTGAAAAATCCCAAACTAGTGCTATGTATGCTGTATACCATTTGGGAGAATCTGTGACATTATGATAATGTGAAATTCAGTATGATCATGCAACCTAATTTATACTTTCCTATAATGTAAACTTAAGTTAGCCATTGCCGTCTAAATCAGCAAAATAAATAAATAACTCAAATAATTTTAAGGTTTCACACTAACTAAAAATAAATGTCCCAATAAAGCACCAAATTAATGGGAAATAAGCACAGTCAGCATCTCTCCTCAATAGCACACAGACTGAGCAGTCACAAGTAGTCACACATAAATACTCTGAGCACATTTATGGTTCGTTAGTGACTCCAAAATTAGCATTTCTCACCATGATGGTTTTTACTGCAAAGTCACTGTGAGCAGAAAAGCACTAAAACAAGCTGTAAAAAGGTGTTAGAGGGTTTGGTTAGAGGTGTACATAAAAAAACACAAAGAAAAATGATTAAAAACAGAAGAGGGGTGGGGGGCTGACGGCAAACAAACAGCAGATGACAGCTGTGCAAAAGAAAGGTTAAAGTTGGGAGAGAAGGAATAAAATGAAACAGTGTTAGAGAGACAGAGGTCTGAGGCGTAGGTTTCCAGTACCTTTCAGGAGCCAGAACAAGAGCCGGCTCTCTGTCACCAGTCGATGTGCCTCGGAGGAGCCGAGGCCCGCGGGAACCTGTTCATAGTGTCATAGGTAGGGATGCTACCGGTGCAGGGACACACACACACACACACACAACGCGGGGCACAACATTAACAGCAATGACAGAAAATTCCACAGACAAATCACCATTTTGTTACTAAACAAACGAGTGGTTCATAAGGCAGAGAGCAGAACAGCTTTATCCACATCATCTCAGGGAATAAGACACATATACTTTACAGTCAGTTAAAGAGGCAATAGGGCTAAAGTTTTTCCTGTCTGAAAGCTCAAGATAATTATCATATTAGTGGGGTCCAAATCAAAATTTAGGTTTAATGTGACTTCATTGCTTTTGTCGCTTTACATGTTAACATGTTTGAAATAGAAACAGGAGGGTGAAGTGTCAGTGTTTCAGTACCTACTGTTTGTTGATAAAGGAGGTCAATAACAGTCACACAGTACTCAGTGCCCCTTTAAAATCATGCTTGAGTTTTGGTGATAAGTTTCAATCCAACATCTTGTATTCATTTTAACAATTCAAGTTGATTATTCAATATTTTAAAAAAAGTTTCATCTTTGAAAATGTTCGGTTTCAAGTAAAGACCAACAAAATGTCAAATAAAATATTTTCTTTGGGTTTTACTTTCCAAGAGAAGGCAGCATGCGCTCAATAAGTGCATAGCTTCTTTCGGAAGGAAACTCCACTTCAATACGTTTAAAAGATGATGTGAAGGACTCTTGTGGAAGCACAGTCCAGCAAGTGTCTGGTCTCATCTATAATTTTTCTGTTTTGCTCTCTTCCTATAGCATCTGTTACAGTAGGTTTGCTGTCCAAACGCATCCTTGTCAAAATGCAACTTAAATATATGTAACATGCAGTTAGATGTTTTGTTAGCTTAAGGAGGAAAATCAATAGAGAAGCATTCCCAGCGTCACACCAAGGCTTGACATGCTTGCCTCTCTCTGAACAAAATGATCAGGTGTACATTCATCGGACTTTGGCTGACTCTAAATGAGAGGAAACAGGAAGATTTTTCATTCCAGTGCGCACACAGAGCATGCAGTAGGTTAGTGACATGGCAGATTCCCCCAAAACCACACAGCAGGACGTTTGGCAACAGGACTGAGAGAAGTAATGGTAGCAAAAATATGAACATCAGACAGACTGAGCAATGAATTTTCAGTAAATCACACCAATCTCATGTCTATGCATCAGATACAGAGTCTAGACAGTAAGGACATGGTTAGCTTAGCTTAATATAAAGACTGATGGCAAGGAGCAGCTAGCCTGGCTCACAATAAGCAATGCTAACATTGTGATGTTTCACAGGTGAAATGTTTACCATGTTCACCATATGAGTTTAGTGTGTTTGCATGCTAACATTTGCTATTTGGCATTGATCACAAAATGCCTCTAAGGCTGATGGGCTTTGCAGGAATTTGGTAAAAACCAAACTATTGGAATAAATTAAAAATGCACTGATTATTGTGCTAGATGAAAAGCCAGAGGCTCACCAAAGTTAATACTACAACAGGACATATTCATTGTGACTAGCTGTTGACAGATACAACACATACAGTGCATTGTGTTAATATGTGACCTTAAGAGGTGTTGGTTTCTTTTAATTTTAGACACGAGCACACACTCGCTTCCAGTCTCTATGTTAAACTAGGCTAGTTGCCTCTTGGCGCTAGCTCCATACTAAACACACAGACATGAGAGTGGTACTAATGTTTTATGATAAAAGCACTGGAAAATACAATATGTCATATTGGATATTTTCAATTAAAAGCTACCATTACTTGTCAGCTTTCACATTATTGTTCAACTTGATGACCTCTACATATAATGTATATATATGTGTGTGTGTATATGTCTGTGTGTGTGTGCAATGAATCAACTCCCTCAAAGGCATGCACTGTGTCCAGCCACATCATTGTGCTTGTGAAAAGACCCACTTCCCCAGGCATGCCTCCACCTCCCACAACATGCAGTAAAAGGATTATTATAACATTTACCTTGTCAACATAGGATTTGGGATACCTTGTGAGCGTTCACTATGATAACCATTATTACCAATTTCCATACTGAAAACAAAATATTGTATACAAAAAAAGGGATGAAAAATGTAACGTGAGAGACATGGCATGCTGATCAAACTTTTGGATTAAAAATGCTCTTTTTGAGTAGTCAAACTTTTCAAGAATGGTAGGAGATAAATATTTTTTTGTATAAACCATATGTTTTATTTACACTATAACTTACAAAAAACAGGTGGACTTGTAAAGTAATGATTGCAAGAGCCCTTCATGAAAGGTAAGGGGCACTTTTCAAAAGGTAGCACACGACAAGAAGCCACACCATCCACCCATAAGAGCAAATTCCAAGCTTAAAAACGTAAACCAGCACCAAGAATTTAGTAAACAATTCTATGTACAAGATCCAGAGAAAAGCACAGAGTGAAAGAAGTTGAAAAGGAAAGGGAGGTGGGTAAAATGTCTTACGTTTTCATGGGAATTGTCTCAATGCTATAAAGATACACAAAAAAACAACATAAAAATGTTATTGAAATGTTCAGCGATAGAAAGTTGCCTGTAATCCCGAACAGATTGCATGGTACGAGACACCACTGATTAGAGACATATATGTTGTATTTGTGTAAAGCTGTGATTAAAATGAGTCCAGTGAGGGTGAACAAAAGGTCCACAAAGAAGAAAAATAAATTGACAAATGTGTCAATGTTTCTTTGTAAAGTGCCAAGTGCTTGACAGAGAGGAATGACACCAAAAAATAAAGAATATGGAAGATGGAAATAGTAGAAATGGTTATCACAAAGTAAAATGCCAAGTCCCAGAAACAGAGGAACTACAAGGAAGAGAGAAGGGGAGAGAAAATAAATCAACAATAAACCAGTAGAGCCACAATGACACAAAAGAACCCCGTAAAAGGCTGCATGTAAAACTCTTATTTTACTGAGCAAAATGAAAAGAATTTCAATGTTACCAAATGATGTTCAAATCCTTAAGTAAGGGAATCAGCAAACTACAAAAGAAAAATTTATTTATCTGCAGCTTAGCTAGTTAATAGTTGCATAAGAAGAAGCTGAAGAGAGAGAAGGATGTCCTGCAACCATTGAGAGCATAATATAAAGATGTCATATCTCATTATATAAAGTATAGACTATAGAATGAATGTATATATGTACATATGCAGTTGTAAAGAACAAGTACAGCCACTCACTCGTCATAAACGTCCTCTGTTTCCATCCTGCGGTAGTACTTGGCTAGTTTCACTGCTAGGATGATGCTCGGAAGCAGGAAGAGAGTGCTGCAGCCCAGGCCCATCCAGAATGTGTTCTGTGTAGTAATACAGGCTATTAGAGCTGGAACGATGTATTAGTTAGTATTAATCTGGAGTCATTTTCCCAGCAAAAATGTCAAACATTCTCAAGTTACAGGTTCTTTTTTGCTGTCTTTTGAGATAGTAAATTACATATTTTTGGGTTTCAGAAAACATGCAATTTGACTAATGTCACCTATATTATTTCACTGTTTTCTGACATTTTATGGACTAAATGATTATTTTTTGAAAAAATAACATGCAAATGTATTGATGTTGAATTAAATCACTAGCTGTAGTTCAACAAAATTATTATTAAAAACAGTTGTAAATTTGTATGCCCCTATATGCATATTTTGATCTACCTTATAACTGCGTGAAATACAACTTACATCAACTGAGATTTGGCGAAAAATATGTAAGCAAACCAAGTTTCAACAAAACCAAAAAAATAAAAAATAAGTGTTGATGCGGCTTCATATCCACCTTTATAGGCAAAATGTTTCTTTGCAAACTTTGATTTATGAGATAATCAAATGAACTACAGTCAATCTGCTGTTTTACCCAACCCCAGTAAGCTACAGCTAACCACTTCTACAAAAAACTCTGCATGAATGGGGTTTGTTTCCCTCTATTCCCAATATAATTACCATAGAGTCGACAAAGAAGCTGCAAGCAAGAATTTCTGTCGTGTCCACCATGTTGCTGAAGGGCTTGCATGGTGCAACCTCCATGGCCAACTGCAGAGAGCAAGATATAAACAGTAAACAATCGCACACAACAGATTCATAATACTGTACTTCAGCAGTAACACTGTCTTCTTACTTTGTGTGACACATTCTGTTTCCTGCTCAGTAACATGTAATCCTGTCTTGTTACTATGTTACTTGTCGAAAGTGTGTGAACATTGCACAATACATCCCTATACTTTATATGTTCAGATCTGAGATCAACAAAACAGCTTCAGGCTTTAAACATCATGTGTTTTTTTTTGTTTTGAATTCCTTAAGTTAACTACAGCAGCAACCAATGTACCACAAAGCAAATTCCTTCAATTTATAGAGGTTGTGATTGTTATATTTGTCTTCTCTATATTTACTCCAAAACTCCCTTATGTAACATGCAAAGGTATTTCTGCCAGTACACAACTATGTGTTCCACCACTGTTTGGTTTACTAAGAGTGAGATGAATATTGGACGGAACGTATAAGTCAACACTTGCACACTGCACCGAAAGTGAGAGTTGAGAACCACAACAGCTTCATATTTAACAAGTTAACGCACAAACACTTACAGATGTTTTGACCCATTCTATGTACTGATGGAAGTAGCCAACAATCGTCGCTGTGTATTTCCCTGTTTCCTGAGGAAGATTAAGACATAATGTGAGTTACAGACCATTAACAAATTGAGAATATTAAGAAAGCAAGTGATGCTTCAATTACCCGTTTGACTAAACGTGTAGCATTCTGGGAGATGAGGTACTGGGCAGCTTCGATGGCATCGAGAACTGCTAGAACTTTGTTCTGCGGAGAGGAAACGAGAGGTTTTTTATCAATTTAAGACTGAATCTAAGCCTAGATTTCAGATTCAGACTGAGGGGCTAGTTCACTTACTGGCAGATCTGAGGCTGTCCTCTCCAGGAACCTCATACTCTGGTTCAATGCACTCTTTAAAAGGGAAATTAGGAGCACAAATTAACATCAGCAATGTCAAATGAGAGAGGATACAGTCAGGAGTCATTTTAACACCTAGACGCCAGTAAAACACGAACGGAGATCAGGCAAGAACAAAACCACTTGATGAACAATGTTCGGCTTTCAGTACAGGCATGCAGAAGAATTTTGTTCCAAAATTAAATATCCACTATGTAAATTCAGTTTTGCAATTGCTTACATACACTCTATGTAAGAATTGAACCGTTTTCCTTGGACACAGTTACAAAATGAATACCTGAATTAAAGTAACATTTCTTTTCCTAAAGTGAATATTTTGTAATGTTTTGGTACAAAATCCTTCACATTCAACACCATAGAGTCCATGATCTTGATGTAAATGCAAATACAAAAACACACACAATACCCTACAATACTGTACAATATGTCATCTGTGAGATAAAATATCGCTCTAAATGATCCAAATAATGAATGGGCACACTATATACACAGGATGGACACATTTCTGCTTACCCTCGCTCTAACATATTTCTTGAAGTTGAAAAAACAAAGAAAAACATAAAAATCTGTTGTAAAAGCTGTGTTCAAGTGCATCACTGCTTGTCTGAATTGCTAGTAGCTGTAAATCCTTGGTGTTATTCAAAAGAATGGCATTGCCTTTGACACAGAAATGAAAACTGAATATTTAATTTGCTTGTCACAGACATGACATGCTTGACAACACATGCCCGAGGGTCAGAAACATTCTGCTTTTGATGATGTTATATGAAATGCTGAAATATATTTCCTCTGTCAAGGATGATACCATTCTCTTAAATAGACATCCGCACAAGGGTAACACACCAATTACTCCTCAGTCGCTCTGGCATATAGATTTTAGAGAAGACTTTATTTTAACATGCATTAAACTAGGGGGCAGCCCAACACAATTACCTTTTGGAGTTGTTAGAAACTAACCTTGTCCAATATTCGGTTTCATATTGTTCTCATTCTCTTTAAGCTCTGTTTTGGTTTCCATCAACTCCTGAGGGAAATTTAGCAGCTAAATTCTCCACTGTGTACACCAGCTAATAATTAAATTAGTCTGTCTACTGTTTGGTGGTGACCAGGTAGTGTGCAGTGGGTCCTTAAAACAAACAACTGCCTGTGGCGGATAAGAGTGGTGAACCAAAACAGTAAAGTTGCGATCACAGAATCAAAACTATGAGCTGAAAGACACTACATAGGGCTGATGGGAACTGCAGAGTTGGGTGATAATTCTCTTTGAGTTTGTCACTACTTTCACATATGATCCATTTTTGATATACAAATATTGATTAGACAACCTTTACAGTCCAAAGTTCTGATATTTAATGCAACAAATGCTGGCAATAAATCAAAATTGGCAAAAAAAACTTACTATATGCAAAGGCATGTCTTATACAGTAGCCAGTGACAATATACCCTTAAAAGAAATCCACTTTTGTTCTGTTAATTTCTGTCTTTTCATCTCTTCATCTTCTGAAATTATTTATTTTCCTTCATTTCCCAGAATGCCTTTAATCAACATCCCAGACAACAATGAGGTGAAAACATACTGCATTTACTTGCACTTGCAGCAAAAGTAGAACAAGAGCTGGAAGTTTTCACAACAAAAGCATCCTTCAGTCAAAACACAACATGCCCTGCGGCTGCATTGTACTCTGGTCTTTTGAGGCCACTGCGGGTGAGAACATCGGTCTATGCCTTCTCTACATTATACGCCTTCTGTATGACTGCCAAACTCAAAAAATATGAAAAAGAACAAATGGAAAATTGAAAACTCTTTGTATAAGGCACAATTCTAGCTTTGCCGTGAATATCATCATTATTATGCCATGTGGGGTAGAAGAACAATCAAGTCAAAAATCAAATGAATACAAAATACACAAGTTGCTTTCACATTGTTTTTAAATAGTTAAGCATGTTTCCTTTAAGGGGACAGCGAGACAGAAAATCTAACCAAGAACCAGGAGTCCAGCCAGGCATGAATATCCGGACTGAGAACAAAGACACATAATGGGGCATTACCATGGCCTGCTCCATGGGGATGATCTGTTGACTGTGGATCTGCCGCAGAGTGCCGACATGGCCTTTCAGAGCAGTCTGCAGAGCGCCTCTGGGCTGAAACACACACACAGACAGAGAGACATCAAAGTCCTTAGGTCATGACAGGGACGGAGTATTTTATTGTTTCCCTTGCTGCCCAATAAGAGCAAATGAAAGTATTTCTCCAACAGCCAAATTCATCTTTATCATCATCATTTAAAAGTCCAGTGTGCAGGATTTTGTGGCATCTAGCGGTGTAGCTGCAGTTTGCAACTCCCTCACTTCACCCTCCCCTTCCAAGCGTGAAGGAGAAACTATGGTGGCTGCGAAATGCACATAAAACGCGAACACCCCTATTTTGTGCCAGTGTTCGGTTTGTTCCTTCTGGGTTACTGTAGAAAGATGGCGGTTCAACATGGCGGATTTCATGAAGGTAACCTACAGCCTCTGTAGATATAAACAGCTCATTCTAAGATAACAAAAACATAACGACTCCTATATTCAGGTGATTATACACTAATGGAAACATAAGTATGAATATTATATTCCATTTCTGCTCATAGATCCTCTAACACACTGGAGCTTTAAGAATGATGCAGTCATGGAGAGGCATTGGGTGCAAACTTTAAAAGGGTCTTAATTTTGAGAGTAACACAAAAGAATAATAGACCCTTTCTTTGAATTAAACTAACTGTGAACTCCATCCTTCTGGAGGATCCTGCAGGACCTACCCTTTAGAGGTGAATACATGTGTTGTTTTAGCTTCCTGAAACCCCCTGAGGGCATGGCAGAGCAGCCAGACAGCTCCCAGAGAACAGCAGAGCTGTTATGTTTTGGATGTTTTGGACTAAGGACAACAAAATCCACCAAAGTGCTCCCATGGCATTGTAAATAAATAAGATAATCAAATTATGTGTCTGTGACCTAAAGAAACACTGTGAAACTGCACAGAGTCGATGTTTGTGTATCAGCCAGAACGGCACCAAGGTGTTCTTACCATGAGGTCTGTCTGGGCCTCTAGCTCTCTGGCAAATGAGAGCAGGTCCACCACAGTGACTCCTTTGTTGACCTGAAGATAAACAGGTATAAAGATAAAAAAATCCATAATTAGCTGCTTAATTATAAAGTTGTTTATTTTATTTTTCTTTATTCTTTTTTAGTACACATTTAAAAAACTCCTCTGCACCTTGGAACAATGCTCAAGTTAAAGAATATTGATGAAATGGATAAGACTGAACTGCACCACATCAGTGCCTCTTTTCCTCCAGCATTATCTTAATGAGGACACATTCAAGTACTTCATTATAATGAAGAGTAAACATTTATTATGTAAAACATCAATTGTCTGTAAAACTGCCAAATAGATAGAACTCACTTAATTGATGCTCAGCATCAAATCATCAGTCATTTTAGCTGCAAATCTTAGTTAATTAAATTAAATTAAGTGGTTGGAAACCTGCAAACTGTATGGGTGCTTTCTGTGATGGTGGCTTACAGTATGTTTTTACATTAATATTTTCTAATCTGAGACATGACTAGATTTTATTCCAAAAAAGCAGAAAACAATGCAACATGCAGAAAGCAAACATTTGTTGGACATAAAATCTCTCATCCTGACTTTTGGAGAGTGTGTGAGTTGTGTATCAGGGCAGGTGGTACACTTGAATGGAGAATGGAGAGTGAATGCAGCTTTTTTCCCCCTGCTCTATCAAGAAATAAATCTAAGTGAACCTGACAGGGAGTGTTGGATAAGACAGGGAATGCCAAGTCCTGGCTTGTTCTTACACACTCTTTGCCTTGGCAGGAATACTTTTGGATAATCGAGCTTCAGTGGTCCTCAACAGAACCCGGTGTACTGTGTCATGTCGCAGCTCATATTAGGTAAAGCACGGCCGCCTGCTGTATGTTAACTGGCAGCCAGGGAGGAGGCTGTTTAACCGAGCCTTAGGAGCCAAGCTATTTCTGGTAACATACTGTTAATGTAATGCAATAATATTAGTATATGTCGAGAACAATCTATTACCAATATTTACACTGATCTTTCATATAGAAACTGGCATTCACAGAGAGCTAACTGATGTCATACAGCCTCCTATTGCAATCTGACAGTAAAATACCACAAAGATTGAGTTGACCTTTATTCTGTGATTTTCAGTCATATTTAGTTATTGTATTTATACGCCTGTCCATGCACTTTATGTGTAAATGCTTCATACTTATTCCACCCATTCAGATGTGACTGTCAGCGTGCATCTGTTTCTGTATTTATGAGAGTATGTGCATCACCTCTTCCAGGTAGTCTGCATAGTTGATTTCTGACAGCCCAACCTCGGAGAAATCCAGGAGGTTCTGCTTCCCCTCTGCTTCTAACAGGATTATTCCCCTCAGGTCGATCTTAACACTGTCCAGCTGACTCACAACGTCCTTCGTAAACTGTAAACACAAAAAATATACAGCAATAGGTTTGATTAGGCCTGAAGGTTAAACATTACAGCTTGACTTATTGGAGCTTATTCTATTGCAGCTGAATGTCTTAAAGGTAAAGGTAAATGTTTGTGTATTCTTAATCTAACATCAAAAACCTTTGGTACTTTGGCTATCTTGGAGTTTCACAGATGTACAACTAGATTATGTACCAAGATTTCTACCAAGATTTTTTTTTCAGTACAGTCTGTTGGAAAAGCTGGTTATTAATCACAGTTTAAGTGAAACAGGAAATTACTGTAAGTGTACATAAACATTGTCGCCAACAAAAATGCAAAACAAATGTTGGCACTAGGGTGACCAAAGATCTTAAAGATGTGGTTTGGATGGAAGCATTTTAGTCCTTGATGTTGTTTGTTTGGAAAGTTTGTACTGTTTGTACTGTAAATTACAGTCCCTATTAATGCACTTCTGCACACAGTCCCTTACTTTAGTTTTTTGTTTCTTTAATATTTAGTTTTAATGACTTTTATGTCTTATATATTGTGTATTGCCTTGTTGTTGAAAGGTGCTAACAAACAAACTTGCCTTTCCTTAATAGGAACATATAAACAAATTGGAATGCAAAACTCACATTTCTCAACTAGTTATTAAACGAGAGAAAGCAAAACTATTCCTTCTGGGCAGACATGAGTATAAGCAACATTTCTACAATGAGAAGTTTATGTGTCAATAACTATAAAGAACTTTGTAATATTGTTTATTAGGTTTTAAATTTCTCGGCTGTTCTGGAAGCCTTAACCATAGAGGGACATAGGTTGGCAAATGTGATTTTGAAAAAGGATGGTTTGAATAGTAATATGCAATTTCACCACCAAAAACGAAAACATATGCTTTTTTATGGATATATAAAAAGAACACAACAAAAATGTTGGCAGTAAAGTTGTTTGTTCTAAAGATGACATGGTAGTTACTAACACTGTATGTTGATGGGTTGGATTTCCTCTAACACTAAAAAAATGTCCAACATATTACATTATTCTAGCTACTTGGTACATAAATGTTCAGACAGCTTTTCAAACAAGTAAAAAAACAATCTTTCAGAAGGGTGAAATGAACAGATTAACTATCTAGAATCAGTATTTTGGGGCATAATATTATACTGCAATATACTGAAATTATGATGTTTTATCAAAGTAAGTTAATAAATGTATCTGGAGATTGATTGACTCTGCTGCCCTGAACCAATCAACTGAAAGCGCTACGACCAGTAGCTCGTGCATGGACGTCATTTCACAAGTTGTTATTGATTAACTGTCCGTATTTTACAGGTTTACATATATGTATGTTATCAAAACAATAGCTTAAAATGTTGTTAGCATGTTTGACCTGAAAACTCAATATTTAACTGACCTTTATAAATAGCCACAAGGAAAGCTCTGTTAAAGCTGGCTGAAAAATCTTAGCACAACAGTAGCCATAAGTTAACTGAAGCATTTCAAATCCGTCAGCTAGCAGATAGCTAGCTACGTGCCTTCTGTTGTAGTTGTGGGGATAGAAACTGTTGTGAGGGGGGAATTTCAGCAAGTTACACTAAATTTGGCAACACTGCATAAAAGTTTACAAAGTTTATTTATGAGCAGTTCAAGTTGTATATTGAGTATTATGAAGCTAATATGGCACTGTCTTTGCAGATGATGTGTCCTATCTGACTTCTACAACAAACAAACTTATTTCACCCCATGGATTGTTAATTGGATGGATACTGTCTAATGACTGCAACCCCTGAGCAAAAATCCTACATATTTCACCGTCAGGATGAAATGCATGTCATTACTCAGAATAAAAAGAAGGGAACATTTAGATGTGGAATAGACAAGTATGAACAGTTGGGGCAGCAAAGATAAAAAAACAAACAGTCAATTTTACCTAATATCTATTGCTATTAGCCTAAACAGGTGATATAAAAACTGACATGTCTTTTTTACTAAAATGCTGTCAGGTACGACGTCACACACTGAAAACTTAAGCATTTGCATGCACTAAATGAAGACAAATGACCAATGTGCAGAACCAGACACAGCATGGGACATATCAGCTGTTGGCTAAAACGAGCCAAGACAATCTTGCCAACTGGCAGGAAAGTACTGAGCGTGTTAGGCAGGCAGAAGTGGCTGGCTCCGGGTCAAAAAGAAATAGAAAGTTACATCAGTGTAATGCGTGGCTCAGGCATACACTAAAGTAAGGGCTGAGACATGATAAGGCTATTGGCTGTCAGCACACACTTTGGTTTGGCAGCAAAGAAATTATTAGGTAATGCTAATGAAACGCTGCAGCCAAGGATGGAGATATCTGGACACTCCATCACTGTTAGCTTATACATATGTCCAATTAGCATTTTATACTAATTCTAAACCTGGTTTGAGCATGTAGTACACTGCATTGATTTATTGTATGTTAGTATTTTGTTAAGCTTTCTAGTATTCAATGCTCTAGTACTGCTATAGTACCACAAAGAACTCCCTTGTGTATTTTAATCACATAATTGTATTGTGAGGTCAGCAAAATGCCTTCAAGTATATTCTTTGTACATCTGGCTCTGACA